GCACCAAGAATGACAGCGACACAGGAAAACGGCCCATGCTGGTGGGGAACCTGGCCGGCCCTCCATTCCTGTACTCACCCCTTGCTCTCACTCTGATTCTCTTTGACTGGCTTCTTGCTGTGCTTCTCTTTGTTTCGTAAATAATCCTTCAGCTTCTCTGCCCGGTCTAGGTACTGCATGCACTTGGCTCGAATACTCTCCTTGGCCTTGTCGCTGTGTGCCTCATCTGCAAAAGGGGAACCAGAGAAGGGTCCCTCTGAGCCCCCATGTGCCCACCGTCCTCTTGAAGGGGACCTGTGGCTGGGGAAGAGCCCGTGTGTGACTCACATTTGATAGCATGTAGGAAATACTCCACGGCATGCTGGTAGAGCCGGAGCGCCTCCTCGTAATTCTTGGCTTTATCCTCTTCTGTGGCTTTCGTCACCAGATCAATGGCTTTCTGGAAAGGCAAAGCAAATAACTCAGTGCTTCCCAAGAGACCCAGAAAGCCCTTGGGGTCTCAGGCAGCAGGATACACTGACAGACATTGCCAGGCCTGTGGATTTGTCAGTCACAGATCATTATGTTGACCTACTTTTCCAATATCAACTAGAAAGTCCTTAAAAGGAAGATTTAAAAGATAGCCATCCCTCTTCAAAATATGCTCATACAGTTAAAAGCAATCTCCTTCTCAGTCCTCACTCTGGATTTCACCAAGTGGAAACCTGATCAAATATCTCAGGTTAGGGCTCAAGGGGAGTTCACTTTCTGTTCCATGGCATCAAGGGAAAGAGAAACGGATCTGGACTCAGAGCCTGTAAAAGAGGAAACACTGGAACCAAGTGGTTGCTGTGTTGCTCAGCATGGAAGCCAGAAACCACACCTGACGTCGAGCACCAGAGAAGAGCCAGCCAACTAGGAAAGTCTTTCATCGATCTGAGAGTTTCTATGAGATGGACTCAAAGGGATCCCTACCTCCTTCTCCTGGCCCACCTCACTACTCTAGGATGAAAGGAGAAGACAGTTTTCCTAAAGTTGATCCCTAGGAAGGGGATGCTTAGACCCTGGGTCAATATACCAGTAACTCCAGTAAAAAAGTGCTTGCAGGCTGGTCCGGTGGCACAGCAGTTAAGTTCGCACGTTCTGCTTTCGGTGGCCCGGGGTTCGCCGGTTCGGATCCCGGGTGCAGACATGGCACCGCTGGGCAAAAGCCATGCTGTGCTAGGCGTCCCACATATAAAGTAGAGGAAGATGGGCATGGATGTTAGCTCAGGGCCAGTCTTCCTCAGCAAAAAGAGGATTGGCAGTAGTTAGCTCAGGGCTAATCTTCCTCAAAAAAAAAAAAAAGACAAGTGCTTGCTTACTCCAGAGGCATACGTGTGCTGCCAATTGAGGGGACCTGTCCTCTGGAACCCTCTGAGAACTTTGTGAGAGTGTCTTTGTGAATCTCATAAATCCTGGAGGCCTGTTCTAGACTGAACTTCAGGCATGCTGGACCTCTCAAGCAGCTGCCCCACTCCTACATATCCAGTTTTAGAAACCATGGCTTCACGAACCCAGGAAGCGTTAGCAGAATCACCCTCCTCAAGCTGAGGCAGCACTAGACGCCAGGCAGGCAGAGCTCACTACAGACACACAGTTCCGTCCTCAGCAAACAATAAACCTCCTGACCAGCTCTTGGCAGGGCCCGGGCATTTGTGTAGCCCATCCTCATCTGAAAATAAGAAATCTCAGAAAGACAGACACAGATAACACTACAAAACTAACAGACTGGGCTCAGTTGGGCCAGGCTGATGTTGAATGAACTCATCAGGTTGAAGAGCCAAGAAAAGGAGAAAGAGTGCTGGCTATTATTTTCAAGCTTCAGCTCCCTCCACTACCTACAAACAGAGAAAGGCCGGGAGCCCTGAACCTTCTTGGATGACAAGCTTAAACACAAGCTTCATGTGTCTACTTTCTCCCCCACGACCACCCTTCAGGGAAGACATGAAAGGGGCTGCTTCCGTCCCTGGTGGCTTTTCTTTTCCAGAACAAATAACTCCAGTTCCTTGGACTTTTTCACTTTAGATGCCTTCTTGCTAGGGTCTGTCCTTTTTTTTTTTTTTTTTTTTTTTTAAAGACTGGCACCTGAGCTGACATCTATTGCCAATCTTCCTCCTCTTCTTTTTTTTCTTCTTCTCCCTGAAGCCCCTCGGTTTATAGTTGTATATTCTAGTTGTGAGTGCCTCCGGTTGTGGGGTCTGTCCTTTTGAAAGGTGGAGCTCAGAACAATACTCCAGATATGCTCTGCCCCTCCTACATGGCAGAGCAGACCCATCTCTTCCCCTCCTTCTAGATACTCAATTAATGCACCTAAGAGCACAATAAGATCTTTCTGGCAACCATGTACAGTTTTTCGCATGCAAGGGGCCTCAGTTACAATTTGAAGAGGAACAGTTTTGCATAACAAGAGCGTACAGTGACAAAACTGCCAGTCCTGCCACATCTCTAGTAACAGGTACAGCAAAGGATGAGGATGAAAGAATAAGTAGGGTAGAGAAGATGTGCTGAGAGAGGAGCTGGCAAACTTTCTGTAAAGGACCAGACAGTACATATTTTAGATTTTCCTGGCTATACAATCTCTGTAGCAACTACTCAACTCTGCCTTTGTAGCCCAAAAGCAGCCACAGACAATATGTAAAAGAATGAGGGGGAATGTGTTCCAATAAAACTTTATTTATAGACACTGAAATTTGAATTTCAAGATTTTCATGTATCACAAAATATCCTTTTTTGCTAGCCACTTAAAAATGTAAAAACATATGACATTATGTTAAGTCAAAGGAGCCAGTCTCATAGGACATGTTACATGATTCCACTTATATGAACTGCCCAGAACAGGCAAATCCACAGGGACAGAAAGTAGATTAGTGGTTACCTAGGGCCGGGAGGGACAGAGGGATTGGAGCGTGACGGCTAAAGGGTGCAGGGTTTCTTTTCTGGGTGATGAAAATGTTCTAAAAGTGACTGTGGTGATGGTTGCAAAACTCTGTGAATATACTAAAAGCACTGAACTGTACACTTTAAGTGAGTGAATTGTATGGTATGTGAGTTATATCTTAATAAAGCTGTTTAAAAAAAAAAATGTAAAAAAACATTCTTAGTTTACAGGCCATACAAAAGCCAGGCAGGTACGATCTGCAGGCCATGTGTGCTGACCCCTCTGATAACAGAGCAGAGCTTCTGCTGGTGGACGCTGGGGTCTGGCTTTGAAGTCCAGATAATTCCTAACCTAGGACCACAATTTATTCTTTATGCTTCTCTTACTCCTTTTTCCTCCACCTAGAGTAACCATACCTCCTCCGCCTCCAGGTATCTGAATGCTACCCATCCTTTGACGGTCTGGCCAAATGCCCCTTCTTCCATGACATCTTGCCTAACTCCCGGAAGCACTGTATCTGCCATCACTTATTGAGCACTTACTATGTAGCAGACACAGTGTTAAGAATGCTTTACCTGAACTGCTCCATCTAGAACCACTGTCACAACGTCCCTATATTACCCCAATTTACTGACAGGATACCCGAGGCTCCAAGATCAAGTAGCTAGCCCAAGGTCACATGCTAGTGAGTGGGAGAGTGGAGACTCAAACCCAGGTCTGAGGCCTGAGCATGTTTACATCTTCCGGCCCAGCAGGACTGGCAGCACCCGGAGGGAGGGTCGGTCATGCATCCGGGCGGCGCCACCCCAGCACCACCCTGCACGATCTAGGGAATGAATGAAGGGTCGTTGGCCGAGTAGAGGAAATCGGAGACCGGGGGAGGAGCGGGGGGTTGTTGGCAGGGAGGCAGGAGGCGGCGGGAGGGCGCGCGGCCCGAGCTCCCCGGGCGGCGCCTGCGAGGCCCGGGTGAGGCTCACGCCGGGCGATCCCGGGGTGCCGGCGGCCCGCAGCGGCCTCGGGGCTCGGCCTGGCCGGGGGCACAGGGGAACTGGGGGGCGTTCTGGACGGGAGGCGGCCCTCGGCTCCGAGCGCGAGAAAAGAGAAACGGGCGGAGACGGCGACAGGGTGGCGGGGCGGGGGCCGCGAGGCCGGGCTCCGAAAGGCCGCCCGCCGGCCCGCAGGCCCCGCCGCGCCTCCTTCCGCCTCCGCAAGCCGGGCCGGGCCGCGCCGGGGTACCTGGAGGGTTGTCGTTGTCATTTCATCTCCTGGGTCCGCCCCACACCCCGCGGCGCTGCTGGCGGCCTCGGTCCGGCCCCGGGGAGCCGAGGGGCTGGGTCCGGCGCTGGGAGCCCGGCGAGTCGGCGCTGGGCGCGGGCAGAGCGGCCGCTGGCAGCCCGAGCCGAGTCCGAGGGCGAGCGAGGAGCGCGGCCCAGAGCGGTCAGGCCCGAGCCGCGCGGCTGCCCCCCGGCGGCCACAGCCGGCACTGCAGGCACCGCTCCTCTCGGCCACGGGGCGGCCCGGGTGAGGGCAGCGGCCGGGCCGGGGTGGGGCGGGGGCGGGGCCAAGAGCACAGCGAGGGCTGGGGAAACGGGGCGGGACCTGGGGCCGAGGGGGCGGGGCCAGAGGCGGGGTTGGGTAGAATCCTCAAGACCTGGACCGTACTTAGCACGAAACAATGCCTATAGGGCAGTTTTACTCTCAGAATAAGCCTGATTTCCCAGAGCTTTGGGTTCCTGATGTTTAATAGGGTATAATGATAATTGGTATCTACTTTGCCTGCTTTTTGGGAGGAGTGAGTGAGCTAGCTAATGTAAACACAGTGTACCTGACACTGAGGGCTCAGCCCGTGGTAACTGTTAATCATGATGCCGCTGGCTCTGTCTGAAGCCAGATTTGTTTTACTTTTCTTTTCTTTTTCTTTTTCTTTTTTTTTTTTTTGGAAGATTGGCCCTGAGCTAACATCAGTGCCCATCTGCTTCCACTTTATATGTGGGATGCCTGCCACAGCATGGCTTGATAAGTGGTATGTAGGTTCGCACCAGGGATCCCAACCAGCGAACCCGGGCCCTGAAGAGGAACGTGCGAACTTAACAGCTGCGCCACTGGGCTGGCCCCTGTTTTACTTTTTAAATATTAACTCTTCTACGTTCCTCCTTAGGAAAGTGATTTTCTTAGACCTCCAAAGCTGAGGACTTTGCCCGGGGCGAACTTCAGCATAGCAGATTGGTCATTCACATTAATCAATTCGACAATATCCACTATGTGCCAGGCTCTGTGCTAGTTTCTGGGGATACAGCAATGATCAAAACAGCTCCAGGGGAGCCTACAGTCTGAGGACAATGATGATGTTCATCAGGAGATAATAAACATGTTGAAGACCATGTATGAAGGCCCATGTGCTATGTGAGCTTCTAACAGGCAATCTGCCCAAGGGGAGATCAGGAAAGGCTTCCATTTAAGTGGAGATTTGAAGGATGAGGCAGGAAAGAGCACTCCAGGTTGATGAGACAGCCTGTGCAAAGGCCCTGAAGCTCTGAGGAGGCCACTGGTGGAATTTAAGAAACTGGAAGAAGGCTCAGATAGCCAGAGAGCAGAAAGTAAGTCAAAGTCTCATGTGAACTGATGTTGGGGAGTTTGGCAGGGCCAGGACATTTGGCTATTGTAATGTCCTCATAATGTTGGCCAGGACATTTTTATTGTAAAAACAATGGGAAAGTGGGGTTTTTTGGATAAATGACTATAGCCCTAGTATGGAGAACAGATTGCAGGGATGGGGTGGTTATTGCATATGAAGCTATTGTGGTAGTCTACAAGAATGAGGGAAGCTTGGACTCAGGGGGCCGTGGAGAAACACACACAGAATGCAGAGGTTTTTGGAAGACAAATCTTAAGCACTTGGAAATGGATTGGATATGGGGTATGGTGAGGGGTAGGAGGGGACAGAGATGATTCCTGGGTTGCTGGCTTCAGCATCTGGACAGATGGTGTGCTACTGAGATGGAGAATACTGGACAAAGACTAGGTTTGCGGGGTGGAGGGTTGAGGAAGACACAAGTTTCAGGTGCCTTTGAAATATTGTGTCAGTTAAATATATGCATCTGGAAGTCGGAAGAAAGATGAGAGCTGGAGATGCACATCTGTGAGACAGCTGGGCATAGGTGGGAATGGAGCTGGGTGAATGAAGTCTCCTGGGAAGAACAGAGTGAGGGCGTGGTAAGGGGAGAGCCTAGGACAGCTTAGAGGTTTGTGGGCTGAGCAGAGGAGAATGAGCCTGCAAAAGAAGCTCAGAAAGACAGCTGGAGAGTTAGGACAGCCAGAAGAGTGTCTTGGAAGTCAAGGGAGGAGTGTCTCAGGGGGTTGGGGGAGGACAGTTGATAAGGAGAAGGGAGCACAGTACCTAATGCAGCTGAGAAGGCAGACAGTGATATGAAAGACACCAACGGCCTCGGCCAGAGGTGTTTCATTCAGGTGACGGAAGCAGAAGCCATAGTGCAGTGGGCCGGGAGTGAGAGGGTCATCAAGAAATGCTGTCATGAGGAGGGATAACTCTTTCAAGAAGTTTGGGGCAAAGACAGGGAGGCCTTGAGCAATAGCTGCAGGATTTGTGGGGTCCAGGAAGGACTTTTTGATGGTTGTTAATGGGAGAAGAGTTGAGCATGTTTAAAAAGCCAGTGGGAAGGCTCTAGTAGAAAAGGCTAACCAATGGGAATGGAATCAAAGCATATGTTGGAGAACTGACTTTAGCCACTATAGTGGGAGGGAAGACGATAGATGCCTACCCAGGTCAGCTGGAAGGTAACAAGAAGTTGAGAGAGTACCTGTGGATGGCTGCTCTTTTCTTGGTGAATTAGAGGGAAAGAGAATCTGCTGAGAGAGAGAGAAGGTGGGAGGCCTGGGGTTTGAGGAGAGTAAAGATGGTTTGAAAATCATTTCACATGAACCAGAAAGGACCAATGTTAAGGGCAAACCTGGTAAAGGTTGGCAACCTCTATAAATGTATAGATGCCAATTTGCCTTGGCTTTTTCTCCCCAGTACTCAGCTACTTGGGTGCAGGGAGATGGCCAGATTCATCCAGGTGACTGCTATGAGGACAGAGCAACAAGGGAAGCCACTGGTTTGGCAAGTGTGGTACTGTGATGGTAGGCTATGTGGAATTGCAGCCAGGGAAGGTGGGAAGCGAACAGGGAAAAGGTAAAAAAGTCAGTGGACTAATTGAGGACCCAAAAGGCTGAAGAAGAGTCACAGTGGGAGCATGCTGTAGAGGGGTGTTTGTTACTGATTTCAGAAATGGCTCTGTTTCAGCAACAACGCAGTCCACGGGGTGACCATGGGAGCAGGAGGACGGGTGAGATGCGGTGAAGGGGACATGATCGCACACAGGGAGATTGAGGAACCAGAAGGCCAGCGTGCTGAGCATCCCTGTGGACACTGGAGTCAGGATGACAGCTGGAGTGGCAGGACAAGGATGAGTCCAGGTGAGACGAGGAGGCACACACCCTTCAAGTCATTGCGTCTCAACTTCTACCCTGAATACTCTGCTCTTTCAGACTTGGACAGAGCTGAGTAGGGAGGCTTTCATTTGCTGTTAGGGCACGTGGCATAGTCGCTGTCCTTTTATATCATTGAGAGAGCAAGGCTGGTCTTTTACAGGGGCCTGGCACAAGATAGATACTTAATATCTGCTTGAAGAGTTAATAATTAACTTATCCTGAATTAATAAATGAGCAAAAAAAAAAAGAGGACACTAACTGGTGGATGAGAGTGAAGCAGAGAAGTTGAGACTATATTAATCCCACATGTTTGATGGGCTGCGTAAGTTGGGAGACAGAATTAAAATGAAAAGTCCCTATGATTAGAATGAAGAGGGCTGTATTAGTTTGCTAGGGCTGCCATAACAAAATACCACGGGGTGGCTTAAACAATATGAATTTATTTTCTCAAAATTCTGGAGGCTAGAAGTCCAAGATCAAGGTGTTCGCAGGGTTGGTTTGTTCGGAGGCCTCTTTCCTTGGCTTGCATGGAGCCATGCTTCTGCTGTGTCCTCACAGTCTTTCCTCTGTGTGTGTGCGCCCTGGTATCTCTGTGTCCAGATTGCCTCTTCTTACAAGGACGCCAGTCAGATTGGATTAGGGCCCACCCTGACGGCCTCGTTTTAACTGACTCACCTCTTTAAAGGCCCTTTCTCTAACAGTCACATTCTGAGGTGCTGGGGAGAGGGCTCAACATATGAATTTTGGTAGACATAATTCAGCCCATAGCAAGGGCTGGGTTCGAGATAACCTTGGCTATGTTCATCTTCCCTTCGTACTGCCTACTCAGCTTTTTTTGACTTCTTGCTTGGCGTCTGTCTTTCATGAGTCTGCCATCTACACACTGACCCTGCTTACAAGGCAGAGCTACCTAGGGAAGCTCCCCCTCCTAGAGGAAGCTCTGTCCTGAGCAGCTGCTTCTGATCGCAGGAAAGGGGTCTCCTCCCCATCTCACTTGGTCACCCATAGTTCACCTTCTCCTTGGATAGTGTCTTGAAAACAAACTCTGAGAACCACCCCAGTTCCTCAGTGGTGTTGCCATTGCTGGGGATCAGGGAGTAAGTGGAGGAAGGAAAGAGGGAATAAAGGCACTAAGTTATTTGTGGGCTGGCACACAGGCAGGTTGAGGCTTGCGGATTCTGAATCACATCAATAACTTCTTTTTCCTGGGAGCAGAAATCAGATTCTCAGCTCCCACACTTTAGAGCTCCTACACTTCAGGTAGAAAGTCATTGACTTGCAAATACACAATTCCATTTGCTTTCTTGCATAGCACTTTTCTAGATTTGATTCTGCTGATGCTGAGAACACGGCACTTGTCGTAAACCCAAGCTTGGGCCAGTGAGTCAACTCTGCTTGGCCAATATGGCCTAGTAAAATCAGACTATATAAACTCCAGCATTCTAGGGTTTGTGCCAAGTAGTGGGTTCTTAAGTTTGTTAAGGAACCCCTTGGAAGGGGGCCAAAAGCAGTGTGGAGGAGACGGAACAAAAACTGGGTTCAGGTGAATAACATTTTGGAGAGGTAGGGCCAGGCCAAAATTTTGCTGAGATTTATGCAAAGTGAGTGACTGAAACCCAAATAAATGGAGCACTGATGATTTCTCATATGATTCCTGAGAAACCATCCCCCACCTCATGCTCCTCTCCTCTCTGTGACTCAAAGTATGATAAAGCTCTGCTTGGTCCAATGATTAAGCTCCTATCACACAGAGTCAGTGGTGGAACTAGAACCCAAACTAAGTTTTTAAGAATTTGGAGTCACCCTAAATCTGCTTTAAAAAGGGCACCAGAAGAGACTGAGACATGACAACCAAATGTAACATGTAGCACTGGATAGGATCCTGTGCGGGAAAGGCAAAGGGGACATCATTGGAACGACTGGCACCATGTGAATGGGGTCTGTGGATGGAGTGGTAGTGCTGTACAATGTTATTTCCTGCCTGGGAGGGCTGTGTGGTGGCAATGCAGGCGAGCGTCCTTGTGTTTGGGAGGTACACACTAGAGAATTTAAGGGTTATGATAAGGCTGCATGTCAGAAAAAGACAAGAGGGCAATGGAACAAATGTGGTAAAATATTAACAATCGGGAAATTTGGGAGAAGGGGATCTAAGTATTCTTTGTGCTGTTCTTAAAACATTCCTGTAGGTTTGAAACAATTTTAACATAGAAAAATTTTTTAAAAATACAAATCTAAAAGCAATTTTTTATTTACAGTATAAAGGTTACAAATGTATATATGTATTTATATATATAATACCCTTAAGTTACAAATTGTCATTGTAATGTACAATGCTATATGTTGATGTGCAACTCAAGGGAAAGTGTTGTCTATGCATTTATATTTATAGAGTACACGTAAATCGCTTTTTTTTACTATTAAGAATACAATTACTGCCCTGTTTTGTGCCATGAGTTTTGATTTGGTAGTCTGGTGATACCAGAAAATTTGAGACTTAAATTTTAAACAACACTTAAAAAGAAGTCTTGTTTAAATACAGGGTTCTACAAAGAGGAAAAACCCCAGAATATCACATACTTTAATTCTTTTTAGAAGTATTACTCTAACTTTCTGAGTCTTACTACTTAAAAATGAAAGTTGTGTGAGACAGAATGCATACAAGTGGGTATAATCGGAGTTTACACAGATTAGCCAAAAATAGCCTTCATAGGTAGTGGTTTGCCACGTTATCTTCTAAAAGACTTTGGATCTGGTACCAAAAGGGAACCAGGGTCTTATCACGCTGAACCCATCTAACAGACTGTAAACATAATCCTGGAATCTCAACTGGAGGAAAAAACCCGTGAACCTAGTTTTTTCCTTTTTTTTTCCTGCTTTAACTCCCCAAATCCCCCCGGCACATAGGTGTATATCGTAGCTGCAGGTCCTTCTAGTTGTGGCATGTGGGACACCGCCTCAAAGTGGCCTGATGAGTGGTGCCATGTCCGCGCCCAGGATCCAAACCGGTGAAACCCTGGGCCACCGCAGAGGAGCGCGCGAACTTAACCACTCGGCCACGGGGCTGGCCCCATGAACCTAGTTCTTATGATAAGGGCAGGTTTGCTATAAAGTTGGTATCGTCAACATTGTTGATTGGGCCAAACCCAATACTTAGTTTAAATCATTTCCTCACCCCAGACCGTATTAATTCACAAAGCAGAGGTGAAAAAATATAACCGACAGCCACTTGAACAGGACTGAGATAGAAGGAAAGCAGTTCTTCCAACCTAGGACACATTACATGACAATATTTATATGCTGGTTCCAATATATAATCATTAGCACCTGATTGTCAAAGGGTAGGTTTAAAGTAAAGACTAAGACACTGGAGGTATGACCTAATTTGGTGCACAACTCTAGGACACTTGAAAACAAAGGGGAAGGAGCCCATGAGATGATGTTCTCTATGCCATTCCAATCACAGATAGCTCAGGTACTTTCTGCACATGATGGATGTTGCCTGAAAAGCTGACCCTAGTGGTAAATGGAAGGTAAGCTGGATAGAAAGGGACTATTATGGTATGAAAATTATGGAAACATTCAATCAACCTCTCTGATTTTCTTTAGACATCCTTTTTAGTGAGTTTGAATGCCAGAGTGTTCTAGAATAACTGGAATTTTGCAAAGTTTTAAATATCTTCATTTTTACCTCTCGTTATTGAGAAATACTCCATCTACCACATGTAAGGACTTTCAGCAAATGAGATATTTAAAGGGTATAAATGTGGAAATGAATGTGTCAGCACAGTTTAGAAACAGGGGGTAAATGAAATATACATTCAGCTTTGCTGATTTATAGTTAAACATTTTTTAAAAAGACTTTCTCAGTGATCCACTTTGTGCAATAGAGCTTAATTTTTGTTGTTGTGACTCATCTTACTAAGGAAAGGATATTCTATAGTGTCCTCCTTCCCAAACTAAAGTCTAATTTTGCGTTAAAAAAGTTATGCATGGGGCCAGCCTGGTGGCACAGAGGTTAAGTTCGCACATTCTGCTTTGGTGGCCCGGGGTGTGCTGCACCACTTGTCAAGCCATGCTGTGGCAGGCATCCCACATATAGAAAAAGGTAGAGGAAGATGGGCATGGATGTTAGCTCAGGGCCAGTCTTCTGCAGCAAAAAGAGGAGGATTTGTGGTAGATGTTAGCTCAGGGCTAATCTTCCTCAAAAAAAAAAAAAAATTATGCATAATGAAAAGACCAACCTACTTAAATGTGTTTGAGTTCTTTCATGCTGGCATGGACCAAAGACCAACTATCCTTTTAAATATCCAGATGAGCAGAACTAAAGATATACTTCAGTGAAAATATGAAGTGGATAATTATTTAACCACTGGTTGATAAATAGATGGCATGGTGTGATTGAGACATAAGAGATTATGTTATGTGCTACTTGAGGGCAGGAACTTTCTTTTGGACCCTCCAGAGTGCCTCTGAAGAACTGTACATTCATAAATGCTCATTAGATGAAAGAATACATGAATTAATATATCATTAATTAGCCTTGCAGTTTCAACATTTCTCCAAAGAACCTTTTGTCTATTCATAAGAGACTTCTATTACTTTGGAAGAGGGGATAGAACAATCAGGTTCCAAGGGTGTACATGTGACTGGGATAAAGAGGGACTCAAAAACTAAAAAGCATTTGTGTCAATGGCATGGAAGTAAGATGACTACAAAACTGAGTAAGGTACTTAGAGGGCTCAGAAGTCAGAAATCTACCAGGATACCTAATCTTACAATATAACAAAGTATCATTTCTCTACTATAGCTTTTTAGTTTCAACCAATCTATTTTGGAGCAATTCAAGGATTATAGTTCATATGGTAGATTTTTGTTGAATATAATTAAATGTTCATTGAAGAGCAGGTAATCATTTGCAAACGGCATACTGATGCATTACATCAAATGCAATGTAGATTCACTTTTAAAACCAGAATATGCTTTGGTTCAGTCACCTGAAGTGGAAAGGAAGAATAAGGAAGTGGCAAGAGATTAAAGTTCATCAGTTTTGAAACAAAAGGAGAAATCTTGTTGAAATATTTTTTCGAGTTAATACATAACAACTATTCTTCCAGTTGGCAGTTTAGCTGGTGTCAATGAGAGATAAGAAAACAGATGTGCTCTATGTGCCTATTTATTGTACTTTCTTTAACCTGAAATTCTGTCCTTTAGTAGGATGAACTTGTATCACTGATCTGCCAGATATATATGTATATATTTAGAGAAAGGATTTCAAATCAGTCACTTAAGCAGTCTATTACTAGTGTAAAATAAAGTTCACTTAATATCATTACACCATAGAATAGCTATATTGCTCAAAAAGACATAATCCTGATATATAGCACAATTATTTTAGAACTGTCTATCATCACACATTTATTGAGTGTCTATATACTCAGCACAGTGAAAGATATAACTTTGAAAAGGCAGGGCAAGGGGGAAAACTGCTGCTGTCGGTTTTTAAAGACAGTATATAGAAAGTGAAAATAATTCTAGATTTCCAAGCAATTAAAAAATAGGGACACAGAGTGAGAATGGCAGCAGATGGAAGACTCCTCTGCTTTCATCTTTAGGAGGGAAAAAAATAGCCACAATAACATTTCAAATTTAACTGAAAGATTTCCAAACTCAAGGTAGAATATAATACTACCTGGCACAAAATATACCTGATAGAGATAGATAAGAAGAATGAATATGACTATAGTCAAATTTAACTTAAAGTTTAAGCAGAATTCTAAATTTAAATATTTCTCTTTTCCTTACATAGATATTCAGATCTGACCAGAGCAATATGCTTAGAGACCAAAGAGATCTGGCATTTTACTTCATTAGGGATTGAAAAAAGACGACCTTTGGTTTTCTAACCAGCCATTTCATTCATGGCATCAATAGTGGATGGCAGCAACATGGAAATACATGCTGGATATCTGGATGGCTTAAAGATTACGTACAGTCAATAGCTTATAACAAGTGAAAATAATAAGAACATAATTCAGCGTTGTGTTCAAGATAAGATATAAAAAAGCAGAGAAAGTGCTTAAGTCTACAGGTCTTCCCTGAAAGCTTCAAAAATGTTTAACTCTTTAAGTAGGTAGGGCTTTTAACAGAATTTGCATAGCAGCTTACAAGATAATTTGCATTAAAAAATATGGAGAATCTTTCATGTTTTTGAAAACATACAAATATATCCACATGCATATAAATTAAACAAGAAGACCTGGAGGTTCTCACAAAATTAAAAAAAAACTCCATCATAACCTTTTCTCAAAAGTGGTCACACTTTTGTCCATCAAAATCATTTACAGTGAAACCTGTTTTTCTGGGAGAAACATAATCTTGTCCAGATTCCACACAGTTTAATTTTTTCTTAAAGAATACATTTTGGTTTATTAGCTAAGTGCATTTAATCAGCTGAAAAAAAGCTTTGTTACCATTCTGCTTAGGAGGATAAGTTAAGAAAACAAACAATCAGTAACAACTTTAATCATTTGTTGGTTAGAGAGATTTTCCACTTATAAAAATATAAGAAATAAATAATTCAACGTCTCCTGCCATGCAGTAAGTTTCAATAACAAAGTTTGTGAGAGTACAGATGATTAAAACAGGCACTATCAGACTTTACCTAGCCTAAAAAGTGCTAAAACATGGCTTTAAAATAGGTGAATGACATTTAAAGTAATATTTTAGATGGCCTGTACACGTCCCAATATTTAACCTGAAACTCTGTCTACTAGGTAGGTGAGTTTACAGTTACAACTATCCAATAAATATTGCATAAACATACATTAAAGTATTTCTTCATATAAAATATTGGATACTAATTTCCAGGTAAGGTATATTTGATGATTTCAGGAAAGAAGTTACCTTTTTCAGAAAAAGAATAACTGAGTATTTTCTTTTTCTTTGGTTCCTTGCCTTTTCTTTTTTTTTTTGGAGAGGAAAGGGAGAAGTTTTAGGGAAAGAGGAGGAAGAATTTTCACACCCCAATTGGCTGCTAATAGGCATCTGTGTGGAATATGGAGAAGATGTCTAAGCCTCAGGTTTCGGGGGACACAGGAAGTGGTCCGTCAGAAAGAGGGGGACGCTACTCTGCAGTTTTCTTTCCATTCTACACATGGAAGCCCACGACATTCTCAACAATTTTCGTAATTCAAAATGAAAAGTCAGCTGTTCTATAAAAGATGTGAAATATCAAAAATGCCCATTTTTGTTATCATTTGAAAATAATTTGCCATATTTTGGCATCTAAATACAAAATATATTTATCAAGGTTGTCCTATTCATAAAAAGCACTTCATTTGTGGCTTGAAAATCCCACAAACACACTTAATTGAAGAACAACCTGGTCACCCATGATTGGAAAGCTGTTGAAATATATTAAACAAGCAGCTTAAGGGCTCTTGCTCTTGGGGTGCTAGTGGTCAAAGGAAACCTCCCACACACTTTCATTTCACATCAAGACTCAAAAGATATTAAAAACCCTACGGACCTTGGTGCTATCCATGACAGTTTAAGCTTGAGCAAAATGAGTGGAAAGGCACACATGCCTTACCTCTCCTGCCCACATTTTAATCACTTTTTGTGCAGATCCATTTTATATAACTAATGAGCAGAGCGGCTCAGAAGTTCCCCCTGAAAATCTTCTCAGGGCTTAGCCTTTCACACTAATACAGAAAACCTCAACCAAATGGCTTTGCTGCAAAAGTCTGTGACTGCATCGTTCAACTTCTTACATTAATAATACTCTTACTGCAAACAGTGTCTCAGCTCCCTTATCTGAGGGTATTATGTGTTGAAATTCTGTTTCCAGAAATCACAGCTGGACCTTCAAGATATATATTTTTTTCTTTCTTGACTTGCAAACTTATCCCAGATGGAACCAAATTAGGGTTATGAATTTTCAAAACATAAAAAGCTCTTGAAAGACACATTCTAGTCTAGATTTCAACTTCCAGTTTTAAGTGGATCAGAAAATTCTTTTTGGGATTGGAGCCGGGGAAAGAACACCTCTCTCCAGCCTCTACATATGGTTACTCTCACTGTATATGGGGAAGGACGACTAACTTCTGGGCAGAGGAAAGACAACGGGGTTACAATGTCTAACTAGAACTCTCTCGCTCACAAGTCTGCTCTTTCACATATCTCACCTGTAGGTCAGTCTGCACTCAAATCAAACAGCTCATGTTTTGCATATATAGTTGTGTGTGGACGTGGGGGTGTGTGTGGTTCTTATTTGGAGTGCTATCCTCCTTCACCATCTGTAGTGCTCACATCCTCTTATGGCACTCCTGATAAACCTAGTAAATGAGAACTACTCCTAGACCTTTCTTCAGAGGGCACAGAGGGGCACAGAGAACATCCAAGTCAATGTTACCTTTCCTTGCAGATCTAGGGACTTTGCTAATCTTGACATTTTATATAGCTATTAGACTATTTTAAATGTTTTCAGATATATACCTCCTTCATAATTAGGAAAAACAAGTGAGTGTGATGATATCTGGCAATGCTTAGCAAAACCCAGGTAGCTGTTCCATGGTCTTGTCACCCTGCCCACTGCAGGATGCATTACTAAGCCAACATTGAGTCTTGAATTAGCAGCTGCTTGTCCATGCCACTCTTCTGCCACAAAGGGAGAGAGGCAGAGCTGGGATCCTGCACGGGCACACACAGCCCAAAGTAACTTGACATGATGTTTGTGCTGAAGAGCTGGCTTCACCCACAAAGTACTCTTTAAACAAGCTGGCACGCCAGTATTTATCTTCCTCAAAGAGATCTGCCCACTAGAAAAGATACCACTAAGGAAACCCACCTCAAAGACTATTCCTCAAAACTAGGATAGATGATCTCCCTGGAATGGCAGTGATATCCAGTTATTCAAACAGTGACTAATAAAGCTCCACTAACCCTAACCAAAGGCACATTTGGTAAGCAATAAAAAATGGCTTAGGCTACAATGAGGATTTTCCTTTAAAATAAATCTTATAACATCCCCTGGCTCCTACCAAAGATAAAATCAGAAAACTCTAAAATAAGCAAAACTTTTCCTTCAAAGCAGTGGTTTCCAACACATTTTTCAACTTGGTCATCACTAGAAAGGGAGGGGAAGGCAAGGCAAATCAAATTTCACAAGTTCTAAATCCTAAAGTTAGCACTTATGAGTGGCAAAGCTTGTGACACAGTGGGAAGTGATGGCCAGAATGGGATGTAGCGAGAGCCAGGACAGATGGAAGAATGCTTTGGTGAGGCAATTCAAGGACTTCCTAGGGTGGAAGGAGCAAGTGAGGATAGTAAACTCCAACAAAGTGTACAACCTATCTGGAATGACCAAGAAACATAGCGAGCTGCTGCAAACTAGCACCTGGGAAGAGATAGTCATCCTAAGCAAGAGATCAGGTCTAAACCTGAAACAAATCCTATAGGAAGAAGAAAAAGAAAACAACTCTTGGATATTTGATTATGTCCAAAAAGAAAAACAATGAGCCACCCTTCTTAACATGGGAAATAAACCTAATTACTTAGAAACCACATTAGGAAACTAGACAATAAATCAATAGCTTCCTTTTGGAGCTTATTAGAGTCCTAGAATTTCTGGCCAAGGTAGCTTGTGAAAGGCAGGCTCTTCTTTAAACATGGTTACGGTTCAGCAGTGTTTTGCAGGTCCTTGTCAAGGCACTGTGCTGGAGGAGAGAGCAAAGAGCTTTCTTTTTGTGCTTTTTTTTTTTTTTGAGGTGGAAATACTTCTTGTGACATTCAAGGCTCTTTTCTGATATTCTGCTGCTCATACAAGCAGTCCCATGCGAGTGACTTTGGCCGACAAGAATGTGTGCAACACAAATACAATCGGCTTTGGACAAGAGTGCAGGTCCATGGTCTGTGGAGAAAGGACAGTAATTGTCACTACCATATGCAGACACTTTAATAAACAACAGGCAAAATAAACACATCTAGACATGATGTTCCACTTAAGAAGAACTTGGATAAAGAATGTGTCAGATTTATGGAAACTCTTCGGAACTTAAAGCCACAAATGAACGTGTACTCTGAAGGTTATTCCATGTCATAATTAAACACTAGTATGAAGTTTCAGATCCACAATTAGGATACAACTGGTGGTGTACTAGGTCCCATAATGCCTGGTAGGAAGAACCAAAAAGCAGAGGATGTAAAAGAAAGAGCAATATCCTACATGGACACCATTAATTGTAATTATATTTCCCAGGGGAACCACAGTGAACTCAGCTGAAGTGTGACCACCTATGGATATGACTTTTGACACCCCTTATAGGTTTGTGGTGGGAATGACAAGTCTTGAGGCTAGTTAGGAGGGCTAGTTATACCTTCCTAAGCACACGCTTCTAATTTGGACAGCTGGCACCAGGTGAACAAAGAAATCTGGGGTTATGGGGCCAGCCCAGTGGCATAGTGGTGAACTTCTTAGGCTTCAGCAGCCTGGGGTTCACAGGTTCCGATGCCAGGCACGGACCTACACATCACTCATCAAGCCATGCTGTGGTGGTGGCCCATATATAAAATAGAGGAAGATTGGCACAGATGTTAGCTCAGCAACAATCTTCCTCACCAAAACAAAACAGAACAAAAAAAACCCAAGAAATCTGGGGTCAGGCTGTATGAGTTAAGTGGTTCATTAAATGTTGGCACTGATAACAGAGACCAGGAATAGGACGTAGCTTACTTAACTATGCCTTTCTTTTTTTTTTGAGGAAGATTAGCCCTGAGCTAACATCTGCCGCCAATCCTCCTCTTTGTTGACGAAGACTGGCCCTGAGCTAACATCCGTGCCCATCTTCCTCTACTTTCTATGTGGATGCCTACCACAGCATGGCTTGCCAAGCAGTGCCATGTCTGCACCGGGATCTGAACCAGCGAACCCTGGCAGCCAAAGTGGAACGTGCGCACTTAACTGCTGCACCACCAGGCCAGCCCTTAACTATGCCTTTTAAAGAAAAATACAACTTTATTAAAAATATAAACTATAAAGCACTAATTTCATCACTAAACTTTGTATATGTTAAATATAAAGCAGGGATTAAAAATATGTAAATAGCCAGGAATAATCTAACACCTGGCTTGCTAAGTGGCAACTGCTATTAATAATTGGTTAATTTAATACAAGTTAATTTAATAGAGAGAAGCATTTAATTCTCTCTAATGCTTCAGGCTTTTGAAAAGCCCTGGTCCATGGCCTATCCATAGTCTCCTAAAGGTTCATCATTTAAAATAAGACTTCTAGCCACAGTTTTCTCATTTTCAGGTTGAACGATGTTATCTCTAAGATCTCTTTCAGTTCTAAAATTTCAAGATTCTGTTTTCCAGATTTACACCTACTGTGACTGTGTCAACAGACATAAGATTTCACATGTGATAAGACTTGAACAACTGGCTCAATACTGATAAGAGAGAAAAGGCATTAGTTTACTCCTTTATAATAATTTATGATTTCTGAAGTATACTCAACATACTTCTCTACTTTTCTAAGGGGAATCAGGAATTCCCATTGATATTTCCTTTAAAGCACAAGGAGGTCAAAAAAGAGGATGGCTCTGTGGACATATCTCTGTATCTTTTTTTCTGATCAGTAAAATTTCTGTAACAATCAAGTCACTCTTTCTTTTTTTTTTTTCTTTTGAGGAAGTTTAGCCCTGAGCTAACATCTGCTGCCAGTCCTCCTCTTTTTGCTGAGGAAGACTGGCCCTGAGCTAACATCTGTGCCCATCTTCCTCTACTTTATATGTGGGACACCTACCACAGCATGGCTTGCCAAGCGGTGCCATGTCTGCACCCAGGATCCAAACCAGCGAACCCCGGGCCGCTGAAGCAGAACGTGCGCACTTAACTGCTGTGCCATCTGGCCAGCCCCCTTTTTTCTTTAAGATTGGTACCTGAGCTAACAACTGTTGCCAATCTTTTTTTTTTCCTGCTTTTTCTTCCCAAATCCCCCCAGTACACAGTTGTATATTTTGTTTTAGTTGTGGGTCCTTCTAGTTGTGGCATGTGGGATGCCGCCTCAGCATGGCCTAATGAGCAGTGCCATGTTCGTGCCCAGGAACCAAACCCGTGAAACTCTGGGCCTCTGAAGCAGAGCGCGCAAACTTAACCACTCGGCCACAGGGCCAGCCCCTACTCTATTATTTTTAACTCTCATTCCAACAAACTGCTGATAATAGTATTGGACAGAATTTATTTGTTTGCCAGCTTTAGTATTTTATATCTTTTATTAGATAAAAGCCTGTTTCTTAAAAGGCTATTTTTTCTTTCTAACATTCAAACAAAACTTTTAAAAAAGGGAATGATCTCCTAATGTGGGGAAAAGGAAAAAAAAACCCAAACCCATACCCAATGCATCTTGAAAACTGAAGAACAATTTCCTGGCTCCAAATGGACTATCAGTCCATAATTTTCTATACAAAAGATAAGAAGCGATGACAAAGAATGAGAATATCAATTAGAATAAACATGTTTTCCAGAAACACTCTTACCAGTTCTCCCTCAGGACCACCAAAATCCAGATACAGATTTCTGATGCCATCATCAGCAGACATTTTCAGCCTTTCAAAGGGGTAGCGATACAATATGCTGCTGGAACCTCCATTTTCCCTGGAGATAGTGAACCCATTTTCATAATGGACATTGAGTCTTACCTCTTGGCCATTTAACGTGCAGCCTGTTGAAGACAAGCAAAAAACACCATTAATAAAGTTCCTACTTCAATTACCAAGTGGAAAAGGAATCTTCTGACTTCAAAAAAGGAATAAGAATCTTTTCTTGAGAGTATGTGATACCTAATCTACTTGGAACCTCCTATAGGGAGTTCTGTTTTGGTTACTCGAGTCAACATCTTGATTGAAATGAGGAAGAAGTTATCATAAGTCTCCTGACGTCTGAGCTGATTCAGTTCAATTCAGTGAGTATCAGCTGTACACTTGTGCTGGCAGTAGGCTGTGTGTGGTACTCGAGAAGTAAGAGGCATGGTTCCTGCTCTCAAGGACCTCATAAATGAATAGAGATAAACATGAAATCCCTAACTGTGTAAGGTAGAATGTATAAAACATGACTAAACACCAAACTGAATAAGGCAAAGTCAAGGAAATGTTTCCTGGAGGAGATGGAATTCAGATAGGCCCTAAAGAATAGGTCAAAGTGGACAGGCAGTGAGAAATAGGAAGAAGGTTTCAAGTAGGCAAGAAGAAGGAATAACCAAAGGAGAAAAGGCAGAGATGTCTTTCAGGGGCAGTAACATGGTTTGGTTGGTATTTGGGAAGAGGATAAAGATAATGTTTATCAAGGGTAAAAGCTATAGTCAGCAAAAGTCATATAGTCAGTCCTATTAAAGACAAAATTCAAAGGATGTATCTGAGTTGATAAGACAAAAAAACTTGGATCTGTAAGACTGGCAAATGTCTTCTCTCAAGACTGGTGAAGTTCCTGTTTTACTAACATTTGAGCACAATTTTTTGTTGTTACTACAGGGGCTACGTGAGAGGCCCTGTGAGACCTGGGAATTAAGACAAACCTCTGAGAGCCAAACTTCAAATCACCTAAGGGATCAGAGTCAAGCTATCCTTGGTCACTTTAAACAGAAAGAATGGTTCCCAAACAAGCAAGTCCTCATACTCAGACCAATGTACTCTTTCGCTGGACATGCAAAAACATTCAATTAGTCAAGGCAGCTGATATGTTTAGGAAATAAGGGAAAGGAATAACAAATATTGGCAGTGTCCCTTCTCAGCACTACTCAAAGAAGAGAGTTTTGGATGATGGACTTTGAATATTAGTTATCCTCAGAAAAGGAACCTTACGGGGAAATATGGAAAAAATTAACTACCTGGAGAAGGATCCCAATGTGATAATCTCTAAATGAATGGCTGAGGGGTTTGGAGGAAGAATAGACTGATCCCAATCAATGCAACCGGAGTACAGTTTTCAAGAGAATTTATTCTATTAACATCCCTGAAGCTATAGCATAGTCAAGGGTATTGAGATCTGTTGAGAAGAGAGGGGTCAGTTCTAATCTGGAAATGAAAAGTTCAAAGAACAAGGATCCACCCAAGTCCCTGCAGCACTGGCAGAGAAGGTGCAGTGCAGGCAGGCGAGTATTTCTGCCTACAGTGTGTCACTAGGGGGGCAAGATCAGGTGATCACAGCTGGCAAAGGCAAACCATTAACCCCCCAACAAGCTTGTCGTATAAGAGATTTCTTACATGTTCTCTTTAGGATTGTTTCCCTCAGGAAGGAAGGAAAGGAAAGCAAATGTCAGTGTCTGTGTGTATTACTTTAAAAACAAAGAATATTTTTTATGATTACCACAATCCTTGAAAAGGAGAAGTAAACGTCATACTGAATATGTTTAGGTTTAGAATTGAGTTTGTTTTAGTTTAAAACTTATAGATAATATCAGATAATTTTGAATGAGAGTATAACTGGCCATAAAAATGTTGTGCCTAATAGTCTTAGTTAAATGGTTTCTCCCTAAATAGTATATAAAAACAGTTGAGGCAATGGTGATTAAGTACCTGCCACCTCTCACCCTCAGAGGGTCTCAGGAGTGATGAACCAAAGAGAAATAAGCCTCTGACTCTGATTTAACGAGAGAGAGACAGACAGAGAGAGACACAGAGAGAGAGAGAGAGAGAGTGTGTACGTGTGTGTGCAGGGCAGGCACCTGTGAGAAGTGGCCCTATTCTGATGGGAGAGGATCTGGGGCCCTCTGCAACCTGCCACTGCCATTACACCCCTAAGCATCTCTCCCCAAGAGCACCATTACCTCCACGTTGCTAAATCTGACCTGCTTCTTCAGCCCTCATCTTGATACCTATAGTACTCATTGTTGGCCGTCTACCCAGCTTTTATTTCTCCATTCTTCCTTTACAGCCAAACCTCAATTTTATCCAGGTTTCTACTCTCTCCTAATGTGTTCCAGGGAAGATAGCCTCTGGGACAACCAGAGCATGGCTTTCCCCTGGTGATTTTTGTTGGTCCATATGAACCAAACGGGCTCAGTCAGACTGAAAAGAACTATGCTTGGGAAGAGAAGACCTCCCCCTCTTTTACTCTTGCTGTCTCTCTTTCTTTTTTGTAAGATAATACATTTCTTTAATATTTAATCTAGTTTTAGAGGGCATTTTCTATTATTTTCAGCCTAAACCATCCCAAATGATACATTTAACCCTACTTCCATTCCTCTCCTTGAAATACTCTTCCATGACATCACCATCTTCGCCCGCCCTAGTTTTCCTTCTACTGCCCTGGCTACTACTTCGCAATCTGCTAAGTGGAGGGGATATTGGCTTTTTCAGACCAAGGGGATATTGTTGAGTGAAATGACATACATTAAAGATCACTTTCTAAGCAGCTCCCTAATAGTAAAAGATTTAGTAAAGCTAAGAGGAAAAAGGGCTCATTAACTAACAATAAATCTATTAGTGTTACAGCAAGCTGAACACAGGTTAATACAACCTATGTTTTCTACTTTGTGTCTTTTTAAATGAGACACTGCTGGTGGTTACCAGTGTATCATGAAGGACAAGGACCCTAATGTCAAAAATTCTATGCTGCAAATCCTGCTTCTGCTGTTCTGGGACCAGTTACTTGGTAGGAGGGCTCTGGTGGGGGGGGGGGGGCTCTAGTGTTTCTAGCAAGACACTTTAGCACCTGCAGGACCATGTCATCCTGGGTTCCTCCTGGCCTTCCAGAACAACCCAGAAGGGTTTGCAGGTTCAAGCTGGCCTGACTGCCCAGGAGTCTCTAAGAGAAAGGCTGGGGCAACATTCTCTGTTACTGCACACAGGAAAAGCCAGTGATCAAGTATAATCAATGGGCTAATCACACCCAGGGTTACAAAAAAGAACATGACTATGTTCCTTTCTTATAGCTATTTGGTCAAAGGCATGAAGCAGGTCTTATTTATTTTTATTTCTCTCATTACAAAGCACAGCACTTTGTAAATAATAAAATACTCAGTAAATATTTGTTCATTTAATGAATTAAGAGAAACTGATACTATATGTCCTCCAGGAGTTTAATCTGGTCATGAGAATGAGCCATTTTGGAGGCTGGCCCAGTGGCATAGTGGTTAAGTTCGTGCACTCCGCTTCGGTGGGCTAGGGTTCATGGGTTTGGATCCTGGGTGTGGACCTACACACTGCTCATCAAGCCATGCTGTGGTGATGTCCCACATACAAAAAATAGAGGAAGATTGGCACAGATGTTAGCTTGGAGACAATCTTCCTCAAGCAAAAAGAGGAAGATTGGCAATAGATGTTAGCTCAGGGCCAATCTTCCTCACACACAAAAAAAGAATGAGTCATTTAGAGAAGGAAATGTCAGGGCTCAAGGCACTGGTTTTGGAGTCAAAAAGACCTCAATTCAAGTCACAGCCACACTAACCCCCATTCTTTTTTTTTTTTAAAGTTGGCACCTGAGCTAACAGCTGTTGCCAATCTTTTTTTTTTTTTTCTGCTTTTTCTCCCCAAATCCCCCTAGTTCATAGTTGTATATATTTTAGTTGTGAGGCCTAGTCGTGGCATGTGGGGCGCCGCCTCAGCATGGCCTGATGAGCAGTGCCATGTTCGTGCCCAGGATCTGAACCAGCAAAACGCCAGGCTGCGGAAGCAGAGCATGCGAACTTAACCACTTGGCCATGGGGCCGGCCCACCTCCGGTTCTTTCATGTTGAAAATGGAGGTAATAGAACTTGCCTTAGAAGGTTGTGTATTAGGGTTAGAGGATACATGTAGCTCACATTTATGACTTATAACAACCCTGACATGCACCTATTATTCTGTCCGTTTCTGTCCTTCCTATTTCAAAGGCAGGGGCTACACCTACCTTATTTATTTTCGTATAGCCAGTAAAAGCACAGAGTATACACATACTCAATCAATATTTGCCGAGTAGATGAATAAAAAGGGATTCAAGAGAATTTCTATGAAATTGAGAACATGGTGAAACTCTTTCCTCATATATGCTAACAATATAAACACTTTAAAATGCCCATTTTTCTTCTCCTCTGGCAGATTTTCTGCATATTTATTAATAAAACTCCTACCTATATCTTCTACTTCTTAGTCTTCATATCACCAAAGCTATAGAAATATAAATTATCTTCATAAAGTTCTTGTATGATTTAACAACTTTAACAGCTTGGGTAATTGGTATGATGAAATTAAGCCTTTAAAAGCATACTTATTAAAGTTCAAACAACTACACACATATATGCATTTTCATATTTTGACAAATTTTGACATATTATGACACATGGAAAATGGTTTTGTGTACCTGAGGGAGTTAACTGCATTCTTTGCCTAGGCATCTTGAAGTTTATATTTGCTAGAAGGAAAAAGTCCTTGTGTACCAGAGGGATCACTGATCAATTCTACTATAACTATAATCTAATAAAGGTTTAAAACTAAATGAACATTATGAAGATCATGTATTGCATTCACTAGTCAAATCTTGTAGGTAGTCAATGAAATTTAACTATAACCAAAATACATGAGACAAGGAACAGAACTTAACTGATTTCTTTTTGTCAACTTCCTGACTTTCTGTAGGCCATAAATATCTGACTATGTGGTACAATGTGCCAAAACTAGTGTTTTTTCCTCCCCTGAGGAAGATTAGCCCTGAGCTAACATCTGTGCCAATCTTCCTCTATTTTGTATGTGGTTCGCCGCCACAACATGGCTGACGAATCGTGTAGGTTGGCGCCTGGGAACTGAACCTGGTTCACTGAAGTGGAGCATGACGAACTTAACCACTAGACCACGAGGCTGGCCCCATAAAATTACGGTTTTAAAGAAACCTTTCTGAATCCCCCAGCAATTTAACAGAAGGTGGTAACATGCATCTGAAGGACATTTTGGGTTATGTATGTACGTATGTATGTATATATGTGGATGTGCACACCGAGTACACACATATTAAGACATAATGGACTAAGTGCACACACTCACGGGTGCACACATACACACACAAACACATTTTTTTTTTTTGAGGAAAATTGGTCCTAAGCTAACATCTGTTAACAATCTTCCTCTTTTTTTTCCTCCCCAAAGCCCCCCAGTACATAGTTGCATATCCTAGTTGTAGGTTCTTCTAGTTCCTCTGTGTGGGACACTGCCTCAGCATGGCTTGACTAGCGGTGTTAGGTCCGTGCCCAGGATCCAAACCCCGGGCTGCCGAAGTAGAGTGTACGAACTTAACCACTCACAACTTAAACACTCAGCCACAGGGCTGGCCCCCAAACACATTTTAAAGGACTCCTGGCTCTCACAAAGTGGTTTACCTTCAGCCAGTTTAATATATCTGGCACAGCTCTAAATACAGAGTAAGTGATTAGTAAGTACATAAGTTGGCCTGAATAGTGGAAATGAAAGCATTACCAAGGTAATATTAAAATACAGCTATGAATGAGAAAAAAAAAGTTCAAAATTACCAAAAAATATATTTCTTTTGTCTATGTAAAAATATAAGGAACCAGCTGGTTCTTATTCTCCCTCTCCTCAAGCCATCTGTATTTAAACAACTGTGAGCCAGGGACTGGATAGATTTTGATTTCCTGCAATATGAAGTTTAGCTGCCAGACACCACAGAAACAACACAAAAGTTAAAAATGTTAAAAATCCAAGTTGCATTCTTTGTTTTGGGAAGCATATCTCTATGAATCCTCGAAGAAGATATGGTGACCCCAGATGTCAGTGAAGGGCCTGAGGAGAGTGCTGGCTGACCCCTTGGAGTCCCCACAGGAACACAGAGCATCACAAACTTTCACACTGAGGACATGCCAATCCCAGAAAGCACATTCTGTGGCCAAAATAAAAACCAGAACCCCACAGCCCTTAATGTTGTAATAAACCACTCCATAGAGAAAATGGGTGGGAGATAGACAAGTGAGAAAGACAGTGTAGATGTGTGGTTCTAGCAGAATCTAGCTGAAGGTCTTACTAGTTATTGGTGTCATTGCTTGAATCATCATTGTGGTTGTGAGGGAAATAATCAGCAAGTCCTAAATAGTTGAAGAATTGTGTCGTTTTGACAACATAAAAAATAAACTGTCCCTGGTGCTAGTGTTAGAAGATGACCCATGGAAATGCTGCCCATGCAGTTCTAAAGCCACGGAGATCCCTCACTTTCCAAAAGCAATGGAAAGAAAGATAAATCACAAGATATTCTGCTCTTAAAATATTTTCTCTTTTTATATAAATTCTGTAAAACTAGATTTATAAAATAAGGTATATAGAAAACAGGAGCAAAATTAAGTAAACCAACTTGCAGCCAAGATACTCAATGTAATTCAAACCATATTAGAGACTCTAATTGTCTCTTCGTTTTGACTATTTTCTCTTCTTGTTAAAATGAAAAGCAATCTGGAAAAATCTATACATATATATATATATACATACACACAAATATATGCATATGAAACCATACCCCCAAATTCATACGTATTAGCCACAAGAGGGCACTTCAACAATGGAAAGAGACTACCAGGCTTATTTCCTTTAGATGCTTATTTCAGTATCAGGCACACATTTTTGAACTTTTGAAGCAAAACTCCTCTTCAAAATATTTTATTTTTTTATAGCCATTAGCTTTGTGATACGCTCATATTTATCCAAATCTTAGATTCCAAATCTTCTTAAACAGAGGGTCCATGAATCTAGTACTTAGTAAACAAATCTTTACACTATCAAATACAGATTAAAATGATGAACAGTAAAACTGCCATCTGTGTTATGAGCGTGTTCAGAGCCATGTACAAGGCTTAGGAAAACTTTGCTACTAAAACAGAGAAACTAGGTTTCTTTCCATCATGATCACTTTAAGCTGCCATATTTCAGAACATTTTTAAGTCTGGAACACATGATAATGGTTTCTACTTTAAAATAAAATATAACAGGTCCATTTAATTACTCTTAGAAATGAAATGCCACGATGTATACCTAGAGAGACTTCTTTGATCAGCTCAGCAGCAGCATGGCAACCTTGAACAAGTATCCTGGTCCAGGTTGACAGATCTCGATGTGTCTCCACCCTGAAGAGATGCATCTCAATGCCCTGCCGAGAGCCTGTCCTGGTAGCAAAGGTAAGGTCAGACCCAAGTGAGGGTGATCGACATCCGGAGCCAGAATGAACCAATCTAGGACCACAAACAGAACAAAGATCAAAAGTAATCAATGCATTGTCAGGGGAAAATGTCAGCAATTTATGCCGACTAACAAGTAGAACATTATAAAAGCCACCAGCAGTTTTTGGATAAGTACATTTCAAAATTATAATCTTTGAAGTAGATACCATTCTGTTTTCCCATAAAATGACCCCTGGTATCACAGGCAGAACAGTGGGCTGGATTGGTCAAGGCCACAATTTCCCCTTGGCTTTTTATGCTCCCAAGAGGCTGTGCATATCAAAAAAAGATTCAATTTTTATTAGGAAATGATAAGTCCCCATCCATGCATAGCCTCCTCTATTACCAATATCACTTACCAGAACGGTACATTTTTTACCAAGGATGAACCTACATCATAATCACCTGAAGCCCACTGCTTACTTTAGGGTTCACTCTTGGTGTTGTACATTCTATAGGTTTGCACAAATGTATAATGATATCTATCCATCATTATAATATCATACAGAGTGTTTTCACTGCCCTAAAAACCTTCTGTGCACTGCCCACTCATCCTTCCCCTCTGTCAGCAACCATTGCTCTTTTTATTGTCTCCATAGTTTTGCCTTTTCCAGGATGTCATATAGTTGGAATCATACAGTATAAAGCCTTGTCAGATCAGCTTCATTCACTTAGTAATATGCATTTAAGCTCCCTCCATGTTTTTCCATAGCCTGATAGCTCATTTCTTTTTAGCACTGAATAATGTTTCATTGTCTGGATGTACCACAGTTCACTTATCCATTCACTACTGAAGGACATCTTGGTTGCTTCCAAGTGTTGACAATTATGAATAAAGCTGCTATAAATATCTTTGTGCAGGTCTCTGTGTGAACTTATTTTCAACTCCTTTGGATAAACCACAGAGCAGGACTGCTGGATTATATGGTAAGAGTATGTTTGTAAGAAATCGCCAAACTGTCTTCCAAAGTGACTGTACCATTTTGCATTCCCACCAGCAATGTATGACAGTTCCTATTGCTCCACATCCTCACCAGCATTTGGTGTCATCAGTGTTCTGGATATTGGCCATTTTAATAAGTGTGGAGTGGTATGTCATTGTTGTTTTAATTTGCATTTCCCTGATGACATAGGATGTGGAGCATATTTTTATATTCTTATTTGCCATCTGTATATCTTCTTTGGTGAGGTGTCTGTTAAGGTCCCTGGCTCATTTTTTGATTGCATTGTTTGTTGTCTTACTGTTGAGCTTTAAGAGTTCTTTGTATATTTTGGATAACAGTTATTTATCAGATGTGTTTTTTGCAAATATTTTAACCTAGTCTGTAGCTTGTCTTCTCTTTCAAAGAGCAGAAAATTTTAATTTTAGTGAAATCTGGCTTATCAATTATTTCTTTCATGGATCATGTCTTTGGTATTGTATCTAACAAAGGCATCACCATATCCAAGGTCATTTAGGTTTTCTCCCATGTTATCTTTTAGGGGTTTCATAGTTTTGCATTTTACACTTAGGTCTATGATCCATTTTGAGTTAATTTTTGTGAATGGTGTAAGGTCTGTGTCTAGATTCATTTTTTTTGCATGTAGATATCTAGTTGTTCTAGCACCATTTGTTGAAGAGACTATCTTTGCTCCATTGTATTTGCCTTTGCTCCTTTGTCAAAGATCAGTTGACTATATTTATAGGGATCTATTTCTGGGCTCTCTATTCTGTTTCATTGATCTATCTATCTATTCTTTTGCCAATACTACACTGTCTTGATTACTGAAGCTTTAAAGTAAATCTTGAAGTTGGGTTGTGTCAGTCCTCTGACTTTGTTTTTCTCCTTCAATATTGTGTTGGCTGTTCTGGGTCCTTTTCCTGTCTCTATAAACTTTAGAATCAGTTTGTCAATATCCATAAAATGACTTGCTAGAATTTTGATTGGGATTGCATTGAATCTACAGATCAATTTGGAAAGAAGTGATAACTTTACAACACTGATTCTTCCTATCCATGAACATGGAATATCTCTCCATTTATTTAGTTTCTCTTTGATTTTGTGCATCAGAGTTTTGTAGTTTTCCTCATACAGATCTTGAACATATTTTGTTAGATTTATACCTAAGTATTTCTTTTTGGGGGGTGCTAATGTAAATGGCATTGTGTTTTTAATTTCAAATTCCACTTATTCATTGTTAGCATATAGGAAAGCAAGTGACTTTTTGTTGTTGTTGAGGAAAATTAGCCCTGAGCTAACATTGCCACCAATCCTCCTCTTTTTGCTGAGGAAGACTGGCCCTGAGCTAACATCCATGCCCATCTTCCTCTACTTTATGTGGGACACCTGCCACAGCATGGCTTGACAAGCAGTGTGTAGGCCCACACCCAGGATCCAAACTGGCAAACCCTGGACTGCTGAGGCAGAACATGTGAACTTAACTGCTGCGCCACTGGGCCAGACCCAGCAACTGACTTTTGTATATTAACCTTGTATCCTACAACCTTACTATAACTGCTTATTAGTTCCAGGAGTTTTCTGTCGATTCTTTCGGATTTTCTACATAGAAGATCATGTCAACTCCAAACAAAAGTAGTTTTATGTCTTCCTTCTCAATCTGTATGCCTTTTGCTTCCTTTTCTTGCTTTATTGCATTAGCAAGGACTTCCAGTATGACATTGAAACGGAGTGGCAAGAGGGGACATCCTTGCCTTGTACCTGATCTTAGTGGGAAAGCTGTGTGTTTCTCACCATTAAGTATGTTAGCTGTAGGTTTTTTTTGTTGACAGTTTCTACCAAGTGGAGAATGTTCCCCTCTATTCCTAGTTAACTGAGAGTTTTTATCATGAACAGGTGTTGGATTTTGTCAAATGTTTTTTCTGCATCTCTTGGTACGATCATGTAATTTTTCTTCTTTACCTTCTTGATGTGATGGATTATATTAAATGGTTTTTGAATGTTGAACTAGCCTTGCATACCTGGGATAAATCCCACTTGGTCATGGTGTATAATTCTTTCTACACTTTTTTGGACTCAATTTGCTAATATTTTGTTGAGGATTTTTCCATCTATGTTCGTTAGAGATATTGGTCTGCAGTTTTCCTTTCTTGTAATGTCTTTGTCTGGTTTCAGTATTAGGGTAATACTAGCCTCTTAGGATGAGTTAGGAAGTATTCCCTCTGCTTCTATCTTCTGAAAGAGATTATAGGGAATTTCTTCCTTAAATGTTTGGTAGAATTCACCAGTGAATCCATCTGGGCCTGGTGCTTTCTGTTTTGGAAGACTTTGCCCTTTTTACAAAAATTAATTCCAAATGGATCTTAGATCTAAATGTAAAATGCAAGACTTCTAGAACACATCTTAAGAGAAAATCTAGGTGATCTAAAAAGATACAACACTAAAGCCATGATCCATGAAAAGAAAAAATCAGTAAGTTGAACTTTATTAATTAAAAACTTCTGCTCTTCGAGCCAACCCTGATGGCCTAGTGGTTAAAGTTCAGCACTCACTGCTTCGGGGGCCCAGGTTCACTTCCTGGTTGCAGAACCACACCACCTGTCTGTCAGTTGCTATGCTGTGGCAGTGGCTCACATAAAAGAACTAGAACAACTTACAACTAGGATATACAACCATGCACTGGGGCTTTGGGGAGGAAAAAAAAAGGGAAGACTGGCAGCAGATGTTAGCTCAGGGCGAATCTTCCCCTGCAAAAAAACAAAAAAACTTCTGCTCTTCAAAAGACACTGTTAAGAGAATGAAAAGACAAGCCACAGAGTAGGAGAAAATATATGAAAAACATATATCTGATAAAGGACTGGTATCCAAAATATACACAGAACTCTTAAAACTCAACAATATATAAAACAAAAAACCCAGTTAAAAAATGAGCAAAAGGGGCTGGTCCAGTGGCATAGTGGTTAAGTTTTCACGCTCCATTTTGGCAGCCCAGGATTCACTGGTTCAGATCCCAGGCGTGGACCTACACACTGCTCATCAAGCCATACTATGGAGGCATCCTACATACAAAATAGAGGAAGATTGACACAGATGTTAGCTCAGTGACAATCTTCCTCAAGCAAAAAGAGGAAGACTGGCAAAAGATGTTAACTCAGGGCCAATCTTCCTCACTGAAAAAAAAAGAGCAAAAGACCTACTTCTTGATATATATCTAAAAGAACTGAAAATAGGCTCCTGAAGAGATATTTCACGCCCATGTTCACTGCAGCATTATCCACAATAGTCAAGAGGTGTAAGCAACCTAAATGTCTAATGACAGATGAATGGCTAAAGAAAATGCAGTATATACACACAATAGAATATTATTTAGCCTTAAAAAGAAGGAAATCCTGTCATATGCTTCAAAACAGATGAAACTTGAAGACATCATGCTAAATCAAATAAGCCAGTCATAAAAAAGACAAATACTGCATGATTCCAGTTACATGCTTCCAATATCCAAAGTAGTCAACTCAGAGAAACAGAAAGTAGAATGTGATTACCAAGGCCTGGAGAGGAGAGGGAAAGGGGAGTTGTTATTCAATGGCTCAGGAGCCTCACTTTGAAAGATGAGAGAGCTCTAGGGAACCTGTTGCACAATAATGTACATAGAGTTAACACTACTGTACTGTACGCTTAAAAGTGGTTAAAGTGGCAAACTGTATGTCGTGTGTTTTTTACCATAATTCAAGAAAAATTTTTGAAGTTAGCAAAACTGAAAAAAAAATGGGCAAAAGAGCTGAACAGACACCTCCTCAAAGACAATATATAGATGGCAAATAAGTATATGAAAATCTGTTCATTAGGGAATTGTAAATTAAAACAATGATATACCACCACACACCTATTAGCATGACTAAAATTCAAAACACTGACAACACCAAATGCTGACAGGAATATAGGGCAATGGGAACTCATTCGTTGCTTGTGGGAATGCAAATGTACAGCCACTTTGGAAGACAATTTAGCAGTTTCATACAAAATGAAACATATTCTTACCATACGATCTAACAATCATACTCTTTGGTGTAAACC